AGTGGAAGGGGTCCCTGCCTATGGCAGGGGGGTTGGAACTAGATGGTCTTTAAGGTCCCTTCCAACCCAAACCAGTCTGTGATTCTATGATTCTAAAAGTGTGATTTTTCAAGACCTATGCATACGCTGCTTCCATCCCTTGACACAAGAGAAATTTCTGATTGTGGAAATACAGTCTCATCTCCAGGCTCTTTCAGAAGATGATGTCTTTGCATTGGTGTCATCCCAAGGGCCTGGATCATAGGGACAGACTTGGTGCAGGGATGGCCACCCAGCCACATGGTAAATACCATTTTTTCTCAGCTATTGTGGTGCTGTCAGTGACCCTTGAGGAAAGGTGGAAAAGTCTGTATCTGCTGTACTTGAATGTCTTTAGGTCATCGACACAGTAGAAGAGAGAGACTCTGTGGCATCTTTTAACCTTTTCTTCCACTGCCATGTTCTATTTATGGTTTGTGAAATAAATTACCTGCCTGCCCACTTCCCTTTAGGGTATCCTTCAGCATCACAGATACCATCTATTTTCTCTTGGGTGGTCTTATTGATATAAATCTAAATTTTAGAGCAGTTGTTCTCAATTGGTGTTTATTTTTTCAAGGCTGCTGCTTCTGTTTTGGACCCAGAGCAGGACTCACGTACTTGAAGGCTGATTATTCCCAGCTAGACTAATGGGCCTAATAACACAGGTCTGCCTACAAACCTTCTTTTGGTCGTATCCCTGGATGCTTGGAAACAATACTGTTTTGTGGTTTCTTCTGGCGTAAATTATGGTTGTCAGCATTATGCAAATATCCCAGCAATAACTAATAATGATAGGGAGAGAGTTATGTTGGCCTGCCAGCAAGGTTCCTAAACTTCATCAGGGAAGGATAAACAGGAGAATCTCGGGCAGCTGACACGCTGGAAGAGATGTAAGTGCATGTTACCATTATGAAGTTGCCATGGCACAGTCATCTGCTCTTTCTGGGTTGAATCTTTCTGGTTTTTATTCCTGTATGTCCCTAAATCAGAGAAATGTGGTGTTGATGGGTGTGTTTCTCCCTGTTAGTGGAGTTCCAGAGCAGTTTGCGGTTTTCCTGCAGTCCATCAGGGCGAAGGGTGCTGGATGGTACGGAAGCAGACGCTGGAGTCTTGTAAGGCTGTTGACAGAAGTGCTGGTGATGAGTGCGGGAGGCAGCGGCAGTCGTTAACGTCGAACTGCTAAATGAGACACTTGGACTGAGGTAATTGGGTTTCTGGCAGCCTGAAGTGACAGATCCAAGTACCAGAATGTTGCCTGTCAGTCTGCTGCTGTGTCATATTGGGGATTCCGGCACCAGCCTCTTTCCTCGTGCTGACTGCGAGGTACGGGTGGGTCCTGGCACACAGAGTCCACCAGCGCCTCTCCAGTGGGTAGGGGACAGGTCCTGTGTGTCTGCAAAAAACAGAGCCATCCGTGTGGTCCTGCTTGGTGAGAGCTGAGACCGCCAAGTGCGTTTCTCTACTGCACCCCTCGCAGGAGAGGCAGCGGGGAAGCAAGCACGTCTTCCTCACTCTCCTTGGCTGGATTGCCTTGGGCTGGTGCTAAGGATGCTGCTCTCCCAGCGTGGCCCCTGGTGCCCCCGAACAGCAGCAGTGAGGTGAGACTCCAGCCTGCACAGCTCCCACAGAAGCTCTTGAGGTCTCCGTAAGCTTGGGACTCCTTTCTTATTGGGGAATAATGTGGGTAAACTGGGAAGGAGAAACCCTTTAGGGGCTCAGCATCTGAAACCCCTGCCAGACATGAGCTACCCGGCGTGCCATGGGAGGAAACCACAGCCACTGTTGTGCTGGTAATTGGAAAACAGCAAACGGGCAGTTCACCTGGGATGCCAGTGCAGCAGCTCTGCGCCCAGGGCCAAAACCAGGGTACGCACGCAGCATGGGAGCGCTCACCTGCCTAATCGCCTCTTCTGCAGGTGTTGGCATAACTTCCCCCCCCTGCCCCGGGATTTGCTTCCATTGACATGAAGGTGCAAATGCCCCTGTCGCTGGTAAGGAGCAGAGTGAACTTTTCCTTGAGTACCACAGCACAAAAGGAAAAGCTGGGTGGAGAAGGAGAAGCAGCTGACCCTGAAGGAATGCTTTTTCTCCCTCCATTTTGTAGCTGGGATTTTTGCTGCAAAATCAAAAGATTTGGCTTTTTTTTTGGGAAAGTACATACTCAGGTAACTTGTCCTCATTTTGATTCTCGATAAGCAGCACAGCTCAGCCAGCACTCAGTGGCTGGCTGCAGTTGACCCGTGTAATGTTATTCATGGTTCGTGTTGAGGAAGGACTGGTTTGCCTAGGTCAGCCCACAAGCCTTATTTTAGATAATCAAAAAGCCCCATTTTTAAGGGCCAATATGATTTTAAAGGTAGTGATTCTGGTCCTTGACCGTGATGGGAACTTAGTGCAAAGCCTTTGACGTGCCCGAAGAGATGTGTCAGAATTACCGGGCAGTTCACCCGTGTGCAGTGAGGGCGTTTCAGAGTGGTGGGTTGTGTTCCTTTTCACAAGCCGTTCAGACAAACCCAGCGAGGCTGAATTATCACGTGCCCCACAGCCGTCACCGCTCTAGGGCTGAACCCATGTGTTCTGAAGGCTCACGTTTTAGGAAGGTGTTCGAAACAGAAACCAGAGTTCTGCAACCCCACGCCCTTACAATGCTAAAAGTAAGGGATTGGGCCACATTTTCTCGCTCCCTTTGCCCCTTTTGTAGTGCTGGTCTGTTACTGCTACTGTGACTTACGGCTGCACTGCAGGTAAGCAGGAAGTTACTCTCTCACCCTATGAGATGTTAAAACACTGCCTTACGCCTTTAAGTGGACTGGGGGAGCTTGAAAAAACTTTTCTCATATCTCCTTGTCACTTGAACCCTTGATGTGGGTGCCACGTGATGATTCAAGAAGCAAAAGGATTTTGGTGTTTTCAGAAAAAAAAAATATTTAAAATTGTGTGATACTTAAGAAAACCCAAAACCTAGCTTTTGTGAAGACGATGAAAGCCATGGGAGAGGGGGAAGAGCTGAACTTTTCTACTGCTGAGGAGTGTGGGTCGCTTAAGGACACTGTAGTGAGTACTGTGCGAGTAGGACCAAGAGGTCGGAGGTGACATTGTAGCACAGTTTATGCTGCTTATGTTTCCCCACTACCCTGTATTTGTAGTGAGGCTTGTTTAACCCCTTTTGCCTGCTCTCAGGAGTTGGAAAATGATGAAGCAAGTTGCTCCCTTGCTTCTCTTCATGTGCCCAACTCTGCATTTTGTGCCAAACAACAGGCATGAAGCGTTTGGTAGGAGCATGGCTGGGTAAGTCACAGGAGGCCCCACTACCTCGTATCTCTTAACAGTAGGAGCCCTTCTGGAAGGTGTTTCTCAAGTCCCAAAAGAAGTGGTAAGAGCATAAGCTTCTCCTGCACGTACATGCATCCATCTGGCACAGTGTGGTCTGTGCCGTGACCAGGCTTCCAAGGCATTGCTGCGCTACAGAGTCGTTAAGAAATAGCATGTCTTAAATTATGCTTGAGATGAGAACTGATCTTTGATTCGGACACGTGGAATAGACTTCAAATCTCTTAATTTGAAAAGCTGCAGAGGTAGAATAATGCACAGCTTAGAGATACCTAAAGGAATCGACAGTCGGTTTTAAACAGCTAGATGCTCAATTGTGTGTTTCATTAAAGTAGTTGCCCAGCTGTTTCTCACAGCACGGGGAGAAGGCTGCACAGAGTAGGGCGAGTCCGAGCAGCATGTGATTGTGCCCAGACTAAGAACATCATGAACAACACTCCAAAATATCAGTGTTCTGAATTTTCATTTTTATTAAAAATAGCATTTCTGAGTAAAGCTGCTAAACCACTCAGCAAAACTAAAATGTATTCCAGAATTTCTGAAGTTACAAACTACTTCATTTGTTTAGAACTTTTATAGACTGAAACTGAGTTGTAGTCAAAATACTGTCAAATTATCTTCCCTTTAGTACTGCACATACCTCTTGTATATGTGAGTCACTGTAAAATGTAGTTTTACATTTTATAACATTTTATATATTTTAATATTTAAGTATAATTATGTCACAATTCTAAAGCTGTATTATATTTAGCAATATTATGTTATTTCTATTGGAAATACTAGAGAAAGCATTTTATTATTTTATTTATACTTTAAAATAATGCTTAAAAATAGTTTTTCATTTTGAAATCTGTTTTGTCAACAGCATCAGTGGGCAGGGCCCTAATTAGAAAGAAGTCTATACTAGCACTCAGGGTTCTTTGTGAAATGAACACGTGGATCAGTTCAGCAATACCTCCTATGTTCTGAAACTTGTAAATATTAGAAGTAACTGGTCGCTATGTTAGTACATGTAACCAGTCACATATGGGCAGTCTCGCAGCGGGTACATTGTGTGGTGTGCTCTGCCTGTTATTCAAGATCGGCACCTTTGGAATCAGCCTGAGTTTCAGGTTGTAGAGAAAAGCAGTTTTACATACACCCAATGTATTCATTGTATACATTCATGCATGTTTTTCAAATACCCGATTGTAGCATCACGCTGATGTAAATAAGTTTCAGCTTTCACATGTAAGGACCTTAGTCCTGCATGTTTTGCAGCTAATGCTTCTGAAATGTTTTTTTCTTGCAAAATTTAGCCATCATATTTTAGTGTAGGCTGAACTGAGAACAGCATATATTCTACTTATCATTTGCATATAATTTGTACCTGCAAAATTTGGATTCTGCAGATATGCTCCTGTACATTTTCTTTGAATTAATGGAATGGATCGACATTTGCTATGGAATCTGGTTAATGTGTCCACAGTTATAAGGAAGTGTAGCAATAAAGATTAGACAGTGATCCCAGTTAACTACGGATGCTCATTTTTGGGGTAAGAAGCAAGGAAAGATTCTCTTGACGTTCTTGTGTAATTTCCAGTTGATGAATCCTAACACCTTTGGCAAGCCTCAGTTAGAAAGCAAATGCACCAACACCCCACAGCTAAGATATAAAAGCCATTTATTCAAAAAAATGTGGTGGTGTCAAATCACATACACAAGCCAATATTGAGCTACAAACACGGACCAAACAGTTCTATAAACAGAAAGTGGAGTGTTCATATACCGTAGTACCTGAAAAAGACCGTTAATAAAAAGGAGTCCATAGGTATTTCATTTCACTTTTTCTATATGGCTCCTTGCTGAACGTCTTTGCCTAAGTTAGTGTACAGTGAGCCAGAGGTAGAGTCCCAAGTAAAGCATCTAATGCCTCAGGGCTCCATTAAAAACCTTTATTCTTCTAAACAAAAGGAAAGCCTAGCCTATAGTTTTCTGTATGACACTGAAGTAAAGCCTCTGCTTGAGCAGTATGGCTTTCTCAAGCACATTTGGCATTAACCTAGATTGAGACCGTGCTTTTGTTGAACCGCCTCAGTTCTCCTCCCCTTCAGACTCCGACTCTAGGAGAGAAGAAAGTAAAACACTTCATGTAGGTTGCACAAGGGCAGCAATGTGACAAGTTCTATAAAAATAACAGGATAGCCTTCCAAAATGCAGATGAAAATTTTCAGCGCACCTAGTACTCCCTAGGAAAGGGTGGCACGTGCACAGAGTAAGCCAGGAGCGCGCAGCTCCAGAAGACGAAGATCATCTCCGCTGCCCTCTGCTGTGGAGCTCTTTGTTTGCAGATCTGGCACCAGAATTTTTACCAGATCACCATGAGTTATTCTGGTCCTCGTGCATCCGGGCGATGCGTATCCAAGCTGAGTTTCATAAAGGATCAGCACTGTTTGCTCACCCTTCTAATCCCTCAGCAGGCTGTTCTGCTGCCATCCAGGAAGCACCCTTTGAGCTATTTGCTCTGCAAATACCAGTCATCATCACCATATGCCTTTCTAGAAGGGTGTACCTGGTGTTACCCTACAGCAGGTATGAAATCTGTACTAGCAAAGTTCTTCATGATTTGTATAGCATAAAAGTAATTTAGAAGTAGAAGCAATTTAGAAGTAGGAACACACACAGTGTTTCTGTCACCTAAAACTACTTTGCATCATACTGTATTCCTGTCTGCGTTCCCCTGACAGGATGGGGCTTGCTGCCAACAACTAGGACACACTGGATCAGATTTTGCAGAGCAAACGTGGTCTGCATGTCCTCACGGCAATGTTTTGTACAGGACTTTATAATTAAGGACATCTGGCAGAGGGGGCATGCAGGAAAGGGTAAAAATAAAGAGCAGCAGAAAGGCATACAAGCAGAAGATCAAAAGGGGAAAAAATGCTTCATTAGAGCAGGGGAAAAAACTTAATTAGACCAAGATTGCTAGTCTAAAGTCTCAAGTGTGAAAGAAGCCACCATTTTTATACTGCTGCCTGCACATGTGAAGTGCTGCAAAGTCTTACCAGCTCCTTGGCATTACTAAACATTCCCTCCAAGATTCTAAAAATCAGACATTAAATGGATACAAATGAAAACTAAAAATTATATCCCTATCTAGTACATATGGGTTAATCTTTCCAACTGATTTGGAACTCCTTTTCAAGGCAAAAAAAAAAAAAAACACCTTATTCAGTGCAAACCAAAGTATTTTTCCTGTGCAGTTAGGGACTAAAAGCAGTTCCCCTCCCCAGGAGCTGTTTTAAAGCAGTGACTAGAGCCCCCATCTCTCGGCCTGGCCACTCAGCTGAAAGCAGTTTCAACTGCAGTGGCACAGGTGGGTTTATGCTGTGTTCACATCACCTGTGCCGACGACAGGAGCTGATGGCAGCGACGCAGAAAACCGTTAGGGTGCCCATGCTGACTCCAAGGTCCATCTCGCTGTCATCAGCACAGCATTCCTCCCGCCAAAAGCTTAAAGAATTTATCTACGGACAAGTGGTACCTGCTGACTTGGGGACTTCACAAGGACACCACGAACATTAAAAAGCAGCAAGCGTTTGCCGTTAGGCTCAGGCACAACTGGCAACAATTTGGTGCTGTCACACCTCCTGTTTTCTAAGTCTGTATACTTCATGCGGTTAAAATCTGGACAAATAGATCTGATTTGCCAAAAGACTACCATACTTCCTCAAATGAATCATTACCTTCTTCAGCATTTTGCAGCCACTCCACAAATTTCTTCATCTGGTCAAGGAAAACACTTTTGCCTTTAGCAACGTGCGCTTCTTTATACCACTTGAGGATAGCTTCTTCACTCAGAACATCAGCTGAAATACAGACCAGTGTTTGTAAAAATTCAATGTATTTTTAGAGGTTAGAAGATTTTAAACATAAGGGAAGATTTTTTTAAAGGAAGCGTAAAGTAAGTTAATAAAGTCACAGTGAAACAAGCTTTGCGTGAACTCTATTGGGCTACAGCTACAGAATATCTGATGCATGTGATGGATTCCAGATGCAGCAAAATATGTAACATATTAGGCTTAAAGTACCAAACATGGTGCTTCTGTAGCGTTCTCTGTTCATCTGCTTGAAATACACCACATGAAATTGTTGGATGAAAAAACCAAAATCCCCCTGCACACCTTAGAAGTTTGCACGCTAACACCATACTCTTTCTTGCTCTTGGATCACAGCACCGTGTGCGGTTCTAGAAATCTGCAGTGACAGACACTGCCCCAGCGAGCAGTGAAAAGACAGCCAGTAGGGATTTTTTGCAATCAGTTTTCCCTAAAGGTTTTATATTGTTTTTAGCTAGTAAGTTTTAAGGCTGCTATTCAGACCACCCATTTTCAGGGACCAGCCCAGATGGACAGCACAGCTGACATTTTTCTGTCAAGCATCAAAAGAAAACCAGCTTTCAGGGAGGGAATGTGAAGCTGAATGAGATTCAGAATAAAGAAATCCTAACAAACTGCAAGGACACTTACTGCTTCCAAAGGCTGCAAATTTAGGTCTAGCCAACAGACCTCTAGCCCCAGGAACAAAGCTCCTGTGATCCAGCCAAGCCAAATATCTCTGTAATTGATGGCTGTGGAGGCAAAATCTGGGATCCACAATGGCATTTTGGCAGTTATGTAATGCAAGAGCAAGAACAACGACCAAAAAAAAAAAAAAAAATCAAATGACTAAAGATAGCTTTCTACATCTCATTAAAATGTCCATTCTTTTTGGTTTTGAACAAACTACCCTCCCTTGCTCTGCCAAATCAACACACTGTTGTGAAGTTCTTCACTGCTCCCTTGAGCTCCTCGGCACCGTCCCACCCACTGGGTATTCATCTGCTAAAGTGCCGACCCTGACCGTCACCTTCTGCTTCAGCCTGAAGGTTACAGCAGATGTGGCAGGGAAGGGAAGAAAGAAAACCGAAATAAATGACACCAAAACCCCAAAGCATCTGATCAAATGAGACAGAGTAGACACATTTCACGTATGCTGTTGAATAATGAAGAGATGGAAGCAACCAGGGATACACGTGAACTTAATCAAAACTATCCCAGGACATCCAACAGTAACTGAATATGAAGTCTCCCTGAAAATTTGGCATTTAGTGCGTGCATGTGACTGCAAGTTACCTTGTCTCTCAGACACCCTTCCAAAATAAAACCTCTTCTGCAGTTTGCTGCAGCCGACCATGAGCTGCCAACACGGGGAACACAGGACTGTGCTGGCTCTGGGCCTTTTCCAGTACATAGAAAGCTGTGCTTAGTGCTCCAGACAAGTGGCACATAAAGCTGCATCTTCCCTAAATCACATCTCACCACAATGAGCTTTTTCTCCAATGCAACAGAAACACTGGAGCTAAGAAAGAGGTTTCAAACATGTTGCATTAAGTACTTGCCGGTAGTCTCCAGCAGCAGCTCGAAGGCATTACAGCATTTAACAGATCAGGGTTTTCATTTAGCAAACCTGAAGATTTTTTCAGGATTTAGCAAACCTGAAGATATTTCACATGGGCTCTCATGAAAGTGCCGTTTAATCCCAGCATGTAAAAAAAAAAAAGCTGACGCTTGCCATTGAGTCCTCAAGTCCACACAACCCTATCTGCAGAATTACTCAGGATGTGACACGTATTGTGAACCTTAGGGACAGGCAAAGAAAGTCAGGAGCTATTTCAGAAAAGGAGTAGAGCAACCCCCTCCCCTCCCAGGGCTTAAGCTAGCTCTTGGGCACCGTGGGCATTGAAAAACCACGAAGCTCCTGCATGGAAGCAGCAGGAGAAGCCCAGTGCTGCATTACAGCCCGCATCACGATACTGCACAAGGAAGCGCCTCCGGGTAGGCACACACCTCAGCCCAAGAATAATAGGATTGAAGTTTATTTTTGTGATTTGCAGACCATAAGCTGCATGGGTTTGTTGCCAAAGAGGAAGGGGGAACTTCTCCCTCCCTCCCTCCCCAAAACCGCCAACCTGACAATAGCAGCATGCTATCTCACTGTGAGCTTTGAAGATTAAACCATTCTCCCAAGTCAGGTGAATGAAAAAATTTGCCTGTATGTAACTCCATGGCAATAAGCCGCCTACGCTTACAGAGAAGAACAAATTGCATTCAGCTGTGAAAAGGACAACTGCAACTCTCATTTCTGAGCAATATTAGCTGTAATTTTTCTATGATTCTAATACATCTATTCCTCCAGTGCTCATGAGAGATGATATTGTCCTGTCAGCACAGAGATGCTCAATTAAACAATCATACAGGACACAGTGTAGTTAATCATACCTCGAGGATGCTTTGAAGCAATGGGAACACTGGGGGGGGGACGGGAAGAGGAAGGGAATGATTCATCTTACAGATATTTATAGTTATTCCTCATTAAAGTTGATTATAGATATATTTTAATGGCTGAAGCTGAACACTGTTGTTTGTGGGCGTTTGCACATCACTCTTACTGCAGTCCCAGGTGATGTCAGCCCAAGAGAGCTGGTTTTCCTGCAGGTGCAGCCACCCGAACCACCCACGGCCAGAGCCTCCAGGGACATCCCTCATCAAAGGGAGAAGCTGCAGAGAAACTGGAGAGCCCAGTATCTTTACTGCAGGGTTAACTAGAAAGTTACTTGAAGTTCAGGTCACAGCTTTGTACTAAATCACCCAGTTAAAATGAATTTCTGCTTTCAACTCAGGCTGCACAGCCATCGGCAGTCAAGGGAAAAGCACACCCTGTCAGCTGCCAACAGAGTCAATCAATCTGCAAAACTCAACCCTATTGCAGCTAACTCAGTTGGAGGACAGAGCCTTAAGGCAAGGGCTCTTTCAATGCAGGGAATGTCACCCGCAGTACACTTACAGCCTTCTCCAACCCCCCAGAAAATTTTGCATCCAGTACCAAAAGAAAGTACTTGAACAATGAAGATATTTAAAGATAATTGTGTTCCATCAAAAAACAAAACCCATGTATTGAGTGGAACTTGAAGATTCAGTTCTTGTAAGCAGAGGCTCTCTGTGGCGTTTGAGGAGACAGCCTGCATCTTTTGGTGGCCAGATCCCCACGCTGCGGAGGAATATCTCTGAGGCCTAATTATGCTGCTACAAACCCGAGTACTACTTCACATGCACTTGCGTTTTCTTCCCTCCTCCCCTGTGTTTTGTAGACGTTGTCTGGAATTCTGATGTGTAAGTGCCTGCTATGGGTGCCTGCTGTTCAAAGGGTGAATAGCCATCCTCGCGAAAGGAACGGTTATTAATTTCAATAGTGTCAAGACTTCACATTGGAAATTTTCAGGTTGGACGCAAACTAAAAGAAAGGAGATTCTGCAAGTGAATACAACATATAGCGTGTAATCCAATGCTTATTTTACCCATGATTAAGAGACACACTGCAACACGGAATGGACTGAAAAACAACATACAACTTACAGCAGAAGAATAACCAGCAAGGAGGCTGGCAAAATTCGTATCATAGAATCACAGAATAGTTTGGGTTGGAAGGGACCTTAAAGATCAGCCAGTTCCAACCCAATTCTATCATTCTGTGATTCCCATTATGTTTAGGTATTTCCATGTAATTCCTAGCAAAGTAATCCAAGGGCCTTTTTATGATGGATACATAGGAAGGATTTAAATGCAAGATGTTGGACACGCTGATAAGAGCAGTCATACAACTAAATTTGTCAAAGCATGGGTGGCATCTGGTGCCTGTCATCAGTGATGGCTATCTGTTTGCCCAGGAAGCACTCCCTCGGGATGAGTAACAAGCAAATAAAGTGTCCGCATTCACACTGGTAGATAGCTGAATTTCTCTGTCTCTCCCCAGTTATTTCAGATGCCTGTATTTGTCACTAGAAGAAGTTCATAAGGTACACTGCAATCTCTCCAGATCCTGTGCAGGTTACACTTGAAGCACAACAGAAAGAGGGACATGGACATCTGCTGTTCCCTCACCACAGACACAGCCAGTAATAGATTTTGGGGACTGTTTTCCTTTTGACTCTTAGGAAACAAAAGTTGCTGTCACCAGCAACTTAACTACAAAAAAGCGTAGACTTGATGGCTTGTTTCTAGTGGGTAGGTATGAGCTGAGCAGAAGGAGGAGGAGAGATCCCCATCCCTGGCCGTCGTCAAGGCCAGGCTGGATGTGGCTTTGAGCAACCTGGTCTAGTGGAAGGTGTCCCTGCCCATGGCAGGGGGGTTGGAACTAGATGGTCTTTAAGGTCCCTTCCAACCCAAACCACTCTGTGATTCTATGATGCACCAGCACTGAAACAAAGCAGAGGCAGGCAGCAGGCAGTACTCGGTCTGCACTTTAGACTGGTATCTTCCCCCCAGCTCTGGCCTAGCCAAAGCCATGCATACTTAGAGCATAATAACATCACATGGGAGAAACAGGAATGGGACAACTAGTGCTCCCTGAATCTTCCCTGGTTAACGCAATAGCGTGTCCTCACCTAATGACACTGTTTGACTCCAAAGCTGCTTTAAATAGATGGAGCTGATGACTTCCTTACCGTGTCCAGTGCTCTGAAGGGCCCTATGGCTCGTGGCCACCGAGTCAAGCGGGCAGTTGCTAGTAGGCAGCAGAAAGTCTGCCAAATGGGACAGATCCAGCTTCGGCCAAAACGGGGCCAGGAAAGGCTGGCAGCTGTGCTGCCGCATGACTGCATCAGATGGCAGAGGCAGGTGCTCCACACGCCTACCAGAGATATTCCAGGCAGGAATATGGGCATGACAAGTATTGCACATGCTGGACACACTGAGCTTATGGCTTCCACTGACAGGCCCTACGGTGGCTCCAAACACTCTTCTCAACATCATGTGAATCCTAAACAACGTTGTGGCACCTGTCTTCGCACCCTTCCTAACAGGGCTGCCCGAGCACATCTCCAGGTCAGAACAAGAGCAAGCAGGGTGAGCAGAGTAGATGGGCACTGGGTTTTGGGAGAGTGTTAAGTTTAATGTACAATTTTGTGACTTTTTTTTTTTTAAATCTTATTTAAATACTTCGGAATGTCAGGGTTGCTCTTGCAGGCTAATGCAGCAATGAATTTACAAAAATTTTGAAGGGAGTCCCACACAAAACCATTTCTGGTTTAACCACCACTTATGGTCTGAGTGCACAGGAGCTGTGGCACCCATTCACCATGTCCAAAGTGAATGTTCTGTTTCAAAGAACACCGAATAACCTGCCTGCTGCAGGCTGCAGCTTCAAGTCTGTCCCCAGTCATTAACAGTCTTTACAAGTTGTAGAACCTGAAGGCAGAGGGACACGGTGTATCACTGGGGCCATGCTATATTGACACAAGGGTGGAGATAAATCATCCGATTCACTTACTTCTGCCTTCTGAAGGCGTGAAATTATTTTAACAGTCTGAACTTGTTTGCCTTGAACATGTACCTGACACAACAGGGTGAACAAAGATCAATACTGGGTTTCTACTCCTGCTGATTTTTCCCCTTCAACTATCTATAGCAAGAATGTCAGAACAGTGTTTGGCACCCACCCATCGCACATAGTGCAAGGCCATTAGTTTCTACGGCAACCGGATCAGAATAAACTTGTGAAGAAATCAATTCACAATAAAAATTAAATCCCTAACTATTGGCACCTACAAGAAACTGGCAGGGAAGGATCAGGAAAGCTCCTTCTGGCAGGGATGGAGTAGCAGACAAAACAATAAAACAACCCTGAAAAATCCTCCCCTCAAGAGGGTTTGCACATTCAAGGTTTCTTAAACCCAAGATCTAATCTACTTTTTAAGCCTGCCAGGAATTTACAGAAATGACTTCCTAGAACTGGTGTTATAAAAGGACTAAACTGCACTTGAACAGACTGTGGATGGTGCTTGGTTCCTGCTCATGATTCTTGACTACAGGGTAAGTGCAACAGAGAGAGGGTGGCTTGTTTCAGCTTTTCCTGCTGCCACAGGCTCCTTAGAACAATCCATGCATAAGGCATTTCGGAGTTCAGCTCCAACACAACCTTCTCACATGTAATACGCAGAGAACGTCCGTTACACCGCAGGCGAGTGGTTGGCACAGAGAATCCATCCATAGTGTACAACAGTGGATATGGACTTTTACCTTTATAGAAGAGTACCACTATCTTCTGAAAGGCTTTCATGAAGTGGATGTTGTCATAACAGTACTCCTGCACCTTCTGGAGAAGAATCAACTCTGACTGGCCTTGAGTGCTGAACACAGCAAGCAGGGGGGCATATTGCTGAAAGGAAGAGAGGATAAAAACCATAATGCATGTCAGTATACTAAAAATAAATGAATAAATTTTTAAATATATGTCATCCTTGTAAATCTGTTTCACTGAAATAATAATTTACTTGCCAGTTGCATTTACTTAAACACATACAGCACATCTACATAATTATTCATGAGCTTTTGTAAGATGTGCTGCATGCTGTGAGCTAAAATTCAGTACCACTTTTTAGATACTGAATTTTGTAAAATCAATTTGTGAAGCTCACATCTTGGAGTACTGCTGTTTGTACACTTCACAAGACAGCATGCTGCTAATTTGAGAATGATGGTTTATTGATGTTCAGAGAGTAAGACGTCCAAGGATGAAGTGCATGAAAATACAAATACCTAGTTTCACAGGGGTTTCAGAAGTTCCAGGAAACTGGATTAAATTAAATTTGTCCAGGTTAACTGGGATCAAGTATCATTATTTTATTTTGTCATTATCACCATCAGAGTATCATGACAACCTCTGGTTTGGAAAATGATGTTTTCAAAGCACAGCATTAACTGTTCATGTTGTTCTGACAAGACAGCGTTACATTTTGTTGTCTTTTCCTGGAGTTGATTAATATAATAAAAGATTAAGCAAAACCTTTTTTTGTTACGCAATTTTTCCTCTTTTATTTCAGATTTTAAAATCGAAAATTACATTAAAGGACCGTATCCTGTTCACTCTTAAAAAACCACAGTGTTTATATCCATCTCTCTCCAGTTTCCTTTCCTCTTATCCTGTGACAAGTCCAGCTAAAACAGTAATCTTAAATTTAAGGCAATATTAAAAGCATTTTTCCGAGCTGAAAGGAAGACAAATTACCCTTGATCTTCAGAGCCCCCAGCCAAATATATGTTAAGGTTACTATTTAATTTGTTCTTGCACTGCTAAGTTCAGCCTTTCTTCCTCGTTTTCAGTAACACTGTCAGTTTGGCATTTTTCAGCTGGATTGGCAAAGGCTGGATAAAACATAGTTCTGGTCTGTGCGACCAGGGCTGCCGCTGGACACAGTCAGGTATGAAACTGCCCATCACCAGCAGCACTGATGAACACGATCAAAAACACATATGCTTCAGGACTTCTTTACAAGGGGCTAAATCCTGACCGTTTTACTCAGCATGATCCATGGAAAAAAAACTATTAAAATGCATGAAAATCAACTAAAATTTCTGGTCCAGAATGTCTTTTGCAGAATAATTATCAGCTATTAATTTAAACAAAGAGAGAGCAAGAAGTCCTACCACAACTGTAACAAGAGCAGGCAGGCAGGCAGGCAGTATTAATACTTTGGGAAGAAACTCCCTTACAAAGTAACTATGAGAAATGACTAGATGTAGAGGTAACACCAGAGGTTGAGATTTTCCACTTCTGGCAGGTCTAACCACATCTTCAGAAACATGAAGTATTTTGGTAAAAACACTGCAAAGCTTGTGCAGGCATTGGGTGGCAAGACTCCCTCTTTTTCCCCTGTAGGCCCTTGAAGCATCCAGTTGGTATCCAGCCAAGTCGCAGGGAGGCAGGGCAATGCAGTTTGTTTATTTAACAGCATCAGCAGAACCCCCCTCCACAGGTTTGTGAAGTGCTGCAGACTGTAAGCATTACGTAATTTAAAATACAAATCCTACCTTTTCATTTTGCCACATCTGACTGACCCCCTTTGCTTTCCTCTCTCACTCCTCAACTGGTACAGACTTAGAAGTTTCACAAGTATCTAACTGACTAAGCAACCATAAAATTAGCTTCCTCTCCTTGCTGGCTGAGCTAAGTGGAACTATTTTCCATTAGCCTCAGGTTAGGTAGCAGCAGGTCAGCAGCTGCACCGTCATGAAGCTCACACCACAGCCTTGCCTGCAGTGCAAATTGTCTGAAGGATTCTTGACAGCCCCAGGGAATGTCTCTTTTCTGCACTGGACGTGGCCTAGGAGGTAAGCCGCAGTGTCACAGTGAGGTTATTGGGATGATGAGGAGCTTATCCTGTCAGATTCAGGGTTTAACAGCTTGCTCCACCTCCTCCTGAGTTCAGCTCCTGCCAGTCCTGCCATGGTTGCCCACCACCTCCATTAGGAAGCCAACCACCCAGTACAGCTTGTGAAGAACTGTACATCAGGCAAATGTCCCGTGCTTTGATACGTCTTTGATAGAGCAGTCTCTTGAACACAGCTTACTAAAAGAAACCTAATAAATTCAAGAGGCTGGTACCCAGATGTCAAAGCTCTGGGAACTGTGCTTTGTGAAAGTTATCTGCCAGGTGCAGGAATAAATCCCACCACCCACACACATTCCGACTCACAGGGCGAAACAACCCCACGTCTGTTTCAGGGCACGGCAACACAGGAGGGCACAGGAACCAGGCTCCGTGTCATGCTAACAGCGTTAACCTGATTTCTGGAGTTGACTCAGCTGAGATCCCAAAGAGAAGTGTCCAAGATCTGTCCCTACCTATCCATAGAGGAAGGATGTGAAACAAATGCTGCTCATTTTTGAACACTGAAATGGAAAGAAGCAGCTAGCAAAGTCTAAATTTCTATTTCTACTGCTTCTGTTAAAATCTTACCTGTACGTGCAAATAGTATATACCCCATAAATATTTGTCCTCTGTTTTTAGACAGTGGATGTAGCTAGAGATGCCCATCTTACGTAGGCAAGATGCTTTACCTAATTTAGTGGGGTTACATCCATAGCTGATGGCTTGAGTCAGTGAGATTCACAGGACTAAGCATCCAGTCAAAAATATTTATACAAAGCCAGGTATGTTTTTTTCCCAATGTTCAAATCTTCCAAAAAGTGTTTGTTAGTTTGCCCTGCAGTACTAGATAATAAATCTCAATGGATACTCTGTTACAACTCAAAGAGATATGATTAATTTTTACATCAAAAGAACAAGCAAAACAATGTCTCTTCTCCTTCTGGAAACTATCTCCTCTTTCCACTGCTATTTGGATCACTTGAGATGACTTCAAGGCATTCAATTTTACCATCAAAGACTACACAAGATCCCAAGCAACTGCATTTCTAGGATGACTGATGTTGCTCTTGGGAAACCAAATTCAGATGAAAGGACAGCAGTAGTAGGAGCTAAACCAACATGGGAACTCTGAGTATGGAGAGGCATCCAATATGAAGAAAGGAATTCAGGTCAAGCTTAAGATCTGTTTTACCATGAAGAATGAAGTACAGATTGCTTCTGTCCTAGGGCAAATCTCTGCAGCCCTGGCTATGAGGGAGTATGCTCTTGCTCTTGGTTTACTGGCCTAGGAGGACTAATTCTGCTGAAAAGCCTCTCTGTCTCTGTTCTCAGTTTAAGTGTCTTGCACTGCACAGTTCCTTCAGACTTAGATGAGGAATACCAACCATGGCAATGACTCCGACACCTCTGCATTGTTTTAAGGTTTTGGGGTTTTTCCCCACTCCAAGGTCATAAGTTTTTGTACCAACATGCAACTGTGATGCTGCGATCTGTCATCACTCAGCCTGTCTTTCTATGCATTCAGTACTCTTATCCACAAGAACAGCACCTGGATCAGAGGGCAACCACAAGCTAGCTCCTGGCTTATTAGTTCACACATTACTGAGCATCCAGCTCCCACAACATCAACAACAACCATTTCACAGATTCTGAGCTCAGTAGTCCTGCCTGGACCTAAGCAGCTCCGTGCAGAGCCAGCACAGGTACCACCTCGCCATGCTCCCAACGCTTCTTTGCTTCTGGCAAAGACATTGCAAAGGCAGTTCCTGCAGGCCTTCTGTCAGGTCTGAGCAGAGCTGAGCCTCAGCATCTGCTTAGTGTTGTCCCCAAGGCAAGAAGCCTCTCAGGATCTGGCGCGTTGAGAAAGCGCAACGCAGAGGTACTCAAGGCTGTGACCAGCCCAGTTTGCCCTGGTTCTCTGCACTGCATGCCGCGGCAGTCAATATTCTGAATTACCTCAGTTTTGCATTAATTTGACTCAAGTTGAACATACAGAAGACACTCCAATGCTTGGTGTGCTTAGTGTCAGCCCACAAGACTCAATCTCCTGGATTTAAACAGGTAATAACTTGACAGCTGTACAATGAATTCTGTTAATTCACCACAGCCCTTTCCCTCTTCACCCACACACGCACCTTTAGATGTTTGAGGGCTTGCTCTGCAACCAGCTCTTCCTTCTTGTTCCATTCCACAGCATTCATGACACAGGTCCACAGGAGACCAATCACCGCTGGCTCTGGCAGCTCGTTTCTTTTCATTTCCTCCTTTACATAAAGCACTACCTGGAGCAGGAAATAAACTGCTGTCTTAAGCAACACTTCCGATCAACCAGAAATAATGCTGACTTACCAAATACTTGCAGTCATTTACAAATAACACCACTGTTAACAGAAACTAAATTAGAACAAAATAATAAATTTAAGCATGTTTTAGTTTAGGAACATCATGATTACTTGACTACAAGTTTTGTCCCTCCACTCCAACCTAACAGGTAATGCAGTTAAATGAAATACATTCGTATCAAGGAGAATTGAACAAAACCAAAACAAATCAACAGAGTCAGCTGCACTTGGAAATCCAGAGGATGTTTTGTTGCTCTAGTCTTAAGCACAGAGTGAACTGATTAATATATCAAAATAATATAGGCTTGGGGATGAATGGCTGGAAA